GGTGGCAAAAATTGCCTCGTGGTGACGATACCAAGTTCTGGTGACACGGTAAGTAAAATGGCCCTCATCATCCGCAGAGGGGGCTGGCACGAAGGTCGGGGCGCACGGGGATTCACAGAGGAGCAGCCGGTGAAAGTGAACACACACCTGTCCTGTGCACCAGGGACCTGCCCTTCGGGAGAACCAGCACCCCCGTCACTCAGCATCAGCACGGGGGCAGCCGAGACCGTGTAGAAGATGTTGATTGCCGCACGACCTTTAGCTGACGCGGGGATGACTTCAACGCCCATCGACAGGAAATGGAACGGTACTGAGTTTATTCCTACGGTGAAATACTAGGCAGCAGTTACAAGTGAACTTGATCTTTATGTTTTGTCGATAGGCCTCGAACACATAAAGATGTAAAGTGATACAGGCAATATGATAGTATTTGCTTAAGCAAAACACGCTTGCGTATGGTTACGGATGTTTCTACACACATATTTACACACACACACACACACACACACCGTACGTAGCTGTAAACAACTATGGACGTATACCAAATTCTTGGCAGGGCGAGAGGGGTGTGGACCTCTGTGTAGGGATTACAATGCACTCTGGTTGTATCTGTAATATTTTCTCACGACTGATAACACGGTGATAGATGGAAATCAAGTAAAATCGTAGTGATCGTTGATCCAGCAGGGGTGGGGGTGCTCGCCACACGGGGCTTTGTATTAATCTGTATCTTACACTGAGTGCGGGCTCCCAGGTCAACTGTGTCGCCTGCTCCCTGCTGTATGTTTCCGGCACTCGCGAATATGATGAGCTCTCACTCCCACCGTCAGGTGCTGTTCCACGGTAAAGATGGTTCTGGAGATGTAATGGAGGTCTCTGACCGGTTAACGTTGACGTGATGAGAAGGGAGATCCCTCTGGGGGGGCCTGACCCGATCAGGTGGGCTCTTTGGCAAGAGCGTCTGGGACTTCCCTGGAGGAGATTCAGAGCCGACGGGGTATCCTCTCGCTGCTTGGTGAGGCAGACGGCCACGTTGCGCAGAGGGCCACGCAGCAGGGACGTGTGTCCGGCCTCCGGGAGCGGAGGGCCGGCCACAGCCTCCAGCAGATGAATTCTGCCAACAGTCACGCGAGCTGCTCCGAAAAGGCCCCCAGCCGCGATGGACAGCCTGGCGGAGACCTTGGACGGAGCACCCAGCTGCGTCTGTGCTCGGCCCACAGACGCCGTAGGATGAAAGCTGTGTGCTGCTTTAAGCCACCAAGTGTCACACAGCAATGGAAGAGGAGGACAAGCCCTGTCACGTGTCGGTTCTGGGGGCAGGGGGAGGGCCCAGAAATGAACAAACACCGCTTTGTTCCACAGGCTGGTGGAGGCGGCGGAAAAGTTGAAAGACACAATCTGGAGTGGCGAGAGGGGTCATGGAGATAGGACTAGGGGGTGGCCTCCGGTTGGCCACGGCCGACTGAACCCCCACTGCTACAGAGCCCTGCGCAGTGCCCGCGAATGGGGCGTCGGCCACCACAGGTGCAGATCACGTGACGGGACGGACACCTCCCTTCCTTCCCCCGGGCCCATCGGCTGGCTGGTCTCCACCTGGCGTTTTCTGCCTCCGTGAATTCCTCTTCCACCTACAACCTGGAGGAAGCCTGTCGCCAGTGGGAGAAAATGAGGTCGACACACAGGGAGAGCTGGGAGGTAAAAAGACAGGGGATCCTGAAGACGTTCGACACCCAGGTCCAGCTGAGCCTGAAGCCGGCTTGATTCCCATCCTTCCCAGTTAAAGGAACCAATAAACCCCGGGGATCCCGTTACTTCCTAGCCTTGCGTCCTCGTTAATACGGACGTTCACGCAGCCCAGTAAACGGCGGGAGAAGTTCTCACACCGTGCTCACTCCCGCCATTCCTAGACTGACGGTTCATGTGAACTAATTAAGCGCCGTGAAGTCTTGGGGGGCAGGCGCCTCGTTCCTGGGTGTCATCAGGGAGCCTGGAGGGAGCTCCGTGTGCCGAGACAGACGTGACGGGCGTCACGGCTCAAACGGTGCACACGCGTGAGTAAGGACAACACAGACATCTCACAAGGGGTTCTGCCGTCAGGCTGAGCTGTCTGGCTTGCCCGTGACCTGTGGGCGCCCTGAACGG